CACACACACACACACACACACACACACACACACACACACACACACACACACACACACACACACACACATATATATATATATATATATATATATATATATATATATATATATATATATATATATATATATATATATATATATATATATATATACACATATATATATATATATATATATATATATATATATATATATAGCTCTCTCTGTGTGTGTGTGTTTGTGTGTATGTGTGTGTGTGTGTGTATTTTATTATGGAATTGTCCGTCGGTCTTTGATTTTGAGTGACCAACAAGATTGCAGGTGAGAGTTTCCGTCGAATATGACATTTTAGTCCCTGAAGAGACTTACAGGCAAGAATACATTGGGTACAAAATCGTGAATTACGTGACAAGAAAGATTTCTTATCATAATGCAGATTGTTTAGCCCTTGCTCTTGAGTCCCATAGATGTTGGAGGGTCTAGTTTAAAATTCGTTCATGCCACAGTGACAGCAGACTCTCCATTCTTTACTGTTCAGTGCCATCTGCTCATAGGTCTAATATGATCGCCTCATTACTTCAAGATTGCCTTTACGTTACCTGTGCCATTGTCTATCAACGTATCTTTAGCCGTTGTATAGCTGACTCTACACGTGGAACTTTGTTATTTGAGTGCCGATTATTTAATGTTCTCCATGATATCCTATCTTCGAATTTTCAAACAGATCAGTATTTGAAATCGTGTCCCCGCGTGGATGTATATATATGTCATTCGCAGAGAGAGCTGTTTCGCTGTATCACAGCATGTCAGTGTGACTAGACAACCGAATGACTCCAGCACGGATCGAAACCCAAACGATTTGGTGTCAGTCAGAGCCTCTACCACTGAAGAGCAACAAAAATAGTGAAATATTTGTTAAAACTAAACGTATTAAAAGTGCTCAATACAAAGCTGGAAGACCACACTGGCTGAGTTGTTTAATATTTTAAAAGACTGAAAGTTGACGCGGTTTCGAACTCTACGGTCTTCTCAGGTGGTTTGTTCTGCAAATCAACTACACGGAGCTCAACAACTTAAGCACTGTAAATCTGCCTTTGGTCAGGATTTCTGACCACCAGTTCATTGCTGTTTTGATATCTTGCTAAATCCAGTTTCTCCTCTTGGCATAGCCTACACGTATTCTCGACTATTATGTTATTCTTTAAATTTCTTAAAATGCTCCATTTAATGCTTCGACTTTTGCTATGTTTCTTCCTAAATTTCCATTACTAGCTTGCTAGTTTCGTGCTGTACATATGCTCTAGAATTTTGAAAAATGAGGTGTGATTATGCCACTTTCTCATGTACTGCCCCATCAGTAAAAGCCGGTGTACTTTTTTGTGCTATTATTTTCACTTTCCACTTCGGCACAATGTACAACCCGTTCAGTTAGGCATAATCCATTTAAAGGAACATATATTTTTGTCCTGCAATTGTTTGAGGTTGTACAAATTGTTGAACGGGATGTTAGAGATCATAACTAAATGCAGGCGTTTTAAGAATTTCAGCTTGGGATTAGTTGAATCCGGTAAAAGTTACAAATGTTTTCTCCCCCCCCATTAATTCCGGCTTAGAAAGTGCTTGAGTTCCGGTTAGTTACCTTCCTGAAGAAACCACCTGAGGCGACCTTAGTGGTCGAAATGGCGGTAGATTGTTCAGATCATCTTTCATCCTTTATATATATATATATATATATATATATATATATATATATATATATATATATATATATATATATATATATATATATATATATATATATATATATATATATATATATATATATATATGAAGAAATATACTCTTAAGGTGCGCTATATTTATGGGATAAAGTGCTCGATATCAGAGACAGATCGTATATATATATATATATATATATATATATATATATATATATATATATATATATATATATATATATATATATATATATGCCCTTTTACCTTGCTATCTATATTTAGATCCCTTTAAAATTTGTAGAAAAAATTCAATTGATTTAAATAGTATCATGAAAGACTCAATTTTGGGCAAAGATAGTTTCACTTTAACTTCAAGTTCAAATCCCAACATTATCCTATATTGACCTATCAGCGACGTTGACTCATGACAATTCAAGCTTTGGAAAAGCAGACAACATTATTGTCGTTTGCTAAAAAATTGAAGGATCACAGCACGAAAATAATAATCTTTTCCTTTCTAAGTATAAATATTAAAAATCGGAAAATATATTTATTAATCAATGAAATATTCTGACTTTAGTAAATCTAACTTTTAAGTTCCTGTGATCCGATTTTATTTATATATAGCGCAACGTAAATTAATAGTTTTTAGTATTCCGTATAAATCGTAAACTATACTGAATTCGAAAATGTTCACATATTCTAGTTAATTTATTGACTACTAATTTCCTTTTTTGTAAATTGCTTAATGTTTTGAAAGTATTGTCATTAACCTGTTTGCACAGTTTAATTCAAAAAGCGCAATTTTAGCAGCAGTGGTAGTGCTGTCATAATCGGTTGCTGATGAAATTAGACCTTACACACATATAACATAAAGGAAATAGTGAATGTTCTCCTTATGAATTCACATAGACATTTTACTGCCACAATTTATTTCCTTAGTGCTTTAAAAAGAAAAAAAAACTTTTTCGTATGAATTCTATTTGTGATGAATTTTATAAATTGTTTCTTTCAACTTAAAATAAAAAAAAAAACATTATTTTTATACATAATAATAATATTATTTGAATTTACATTAATTTATTAATGTTATAAATTTATCTTGAGCGAATGATTTCTTTTTTTCATTTTTTTCCAAGAGTCTTCTGACATTAAACTGCCCGATCATAAATTCTTTATAGGAAATTGTATGCAGTGAATGTCTAAAATAAGAAGTTGTCAACCAAATAAGTCTTCCCGCCAAAATAATCAGAGATGTTTAATATGTTCCAAACGTTCAGAGCAAGAGATGTTAACTTTGGATACAACATTTTCGGCAATGATTTTTGCTAATGACGATTTCCTGAAAAGCCTCAATGCAGAAATTACATAACTTGTTGATGTACACAAGTGTAAAATGATTTTGTTCTCTAACGTTCTCGTAGTGAAAATACATTATGGTAAATTTTATGACTGTCAGATATCATTCATTTGGAACACATTAAGGAAAATGTGTTCTTTGTTATAGAATGGAAGTATCGATTTATTTGTCAATAAAGTGAATTTAGTGCTAGCTAGCAAGCTAGATTGATAGATAGTTGAAAAGAATAGACGGAGATAGATCGATCGATAGATAGATCGTTAAGAATTAACGGAGATAGATAGATAGATAGATAGATAGATAGATAGATAGATAGATAGATAGATAGATGTATTTGGATGCGAACTGTCTGAGAGAGAAAAACTGCATTGTTTGCAAACTTCAATTGGTTTAACTAGGACCAGTATTACATGAACCATAGTATTCAGTTTTAATCCGGGTATCTAGAAAGAATCTTTGGAGGGAAACAAATAATTTTACTTAGAATTAATTGTCAGTAAAGTCCATTAATGAAAATAATTAGTATGGCTCATTTATATAAAATTCCATCATTTTGTGGCTGTCAATAACAGCAATAAATTAATCAGAACTGCTTGATACACACTGTGACGGATTAAGTTTTGTCTTCAGACTAAAGAGTTTATTATAGAATTAATTCTCACTCGTTTGTTGGTATAAAGCTTCACACACTAGTTTACTAAGTAAGTAGGTTTTTGTACTGAGACACTCGGGTTATAAGTCCCAAAAAATCATATACATATTCAGATGTCCTCAAGGACACATGGCCCAGTGGATATACGCTTTGGTTAAATCCAGTGAATGGACCCAAAGTTTGGGGAGTTCAATACCAAACAACAGCAGTGATGAACCAATTTTGGAGAGATGAGTTAACAGGAAGTAACTGAGACATCCGAAAGAGGCATGATACGTGGAATTAAAACAATCTACCCAAAATAAAGGGTTCCGTTCGAAATTTCAATAACTTGAACAAGGCCGAAACATTGGGAATATGACGATGAAGATGAGGATAACAGTCCGAATAATGTAAATAATGTAAGTAATCATAATACCTCATCTTAGTGATATAGAGATTGAAACGTTGTGAATATAGCAATGATTATGAGAATAACAGTCCGAATAATGTAAATAATGTAAGTATTCATAATAACTCATCTCAGAGATATAGAGGCCGATATGTTGTCAATATGTCAGTGAAGATGAGGGTTACAGTCCGAATAATGTAAATAATGCAAATAATCATAATACTTCATCTCAGTGATATAGATGCCGAAATGTTGTCAATATGACAATAAAAATGGTGATAATCGTCAGAATAATGTAAATAATGCAATTAATCATAATACCTCATCTCAGAGATATAGTCAGAATTTATGCTTTTCATATTTCACTGTATCATTCCTAATATTTATAAAGTTTAAAATGTTATTAAATGATGTTTGCAACGAGATGCAAGGCTGATTCTGCTTATGACAATTGGCTTTTTTGTGTGTAATTAAATTTGTTTTGTTTTTTTCCTTTTGACTATTCCTTCCATCTATGGCAATATCTTATCATGGCGAATTGCTTCCGCTGTTTTTTTAATGTTTGGATGATATACACCAAACAAAGCCATCAGCGTTGACACCTGAAAACAGTTAAACACGAAACTGATCGATTTTCATTGTTACTTTTGTTAGTTTATTGATTAATCTCTTTAGAATGATTCGTTAAAAAATATTTCACTACGCGTGTTTTTTTTTCTTTCTTTTATTCTGCCGGCATTTATAGATTATAACTTCTCGTATTTTTCTTTTAACTTTTTTCAGCTTTAATCGATTGATCTTGATTTTTCATTAGATTTTTTAATATCTATTTTTCCTTTTTATTTTATTTTATTTTATTTTTTTTTTTGTCTTTCCTCAGTTTCCTATTCTTCTCCTATAATGTCCGGTTATTCTACCATTTTCTATCCAGTTTTAAACTTTCGTTTTATCTGTTCTACAACAGAATATATTTCGTTTTTACTTATATTTTTCATTACTTAACCTACCTTCGTTTTTCATCATTATAGCTTCTTTCTTTTTTTTAAGTATTTATTTCTTTCCTTTTATACGTATTTATTTCTTACCTTTTTCACGTGTTTAATTCTTTCCTTTTTTACCTTTTTATTTCCTTCCTTTTTCACGTGTTTATTTTCTTCCTTTTTACGTATTTATTTATTTCCTTTTTTACGTATTTCTTTCTTTCCCTTTTTACGTATTTATTTCCTTCCATTTTTACGTATTTATTTCCTTTTTACGTATTTATTTCCATCCTTTTTCACCTGTTTATTTCCTTCCTTTTTTACGTATTTATTTCTTTCCTTTTTTTACGTATTTATTTCCTTCCCTTTTCACGTCTTAATTTCCTTACGTTTTCCCGTGTTTATTTCCTTCCCTTTTCCCGTATTTATTTCTTTCCCTTTTCCCATGTTTATTTCCTTCCTTTTTCCCATGTTTATTTCCTTCCTTTTTCCCATGTTTATTTCCTTCCTTTTTTACGTGTTTATTTCCTTCCTTTATACGTATCATAACTATGCATGTAATCTTATAAAAAGTGAATATGTTTGTAAATTCATAATTGTCATCTTTTAATACTTTTTGCCATAGACTATTCTTTTCATTTTCATTGTATCTTAAAGAATTTGTCAGTCATGACTCTTCAAAGCATTCTCTCTGTTTATCTTGAAGCAGTTTCTGGTGACCGAGTTGTGTTACGCTTAGACGCACGCAGTTGACGGATCAAAGAGAAGAGCTTTTTTAGAACAAGTGCCACGAAAATATTTATAGAAAAAGCACATGGAAGGTACATTGTCGCCATAGGAAAGTGAATGAGGACAAGATGCCAGGTCAAGACCGATAACATTGCAGACCCTTCTTTGGATTTTGGCAAGAATACAGAGATATATAGAAAGAACACAAGACCAGATATTATAAAATTATTTGGATAAACGAAAGGTCACTAAGACAAATGCTATAAAACATTACATACACGAAAGAAAACATATCTATTTGTGTTTTACAAAACCTGCTCTGACACAAGGTGACACGAGTGAACATGTAAATTTTATTTCTCGTACAAAATTTATATTTGTCTCTATATCTTAGATGAGGTATTACTATTATTTACATTATTTACATTATTCGGACTGTTATCCTCATGTCCATTGCCATATTCACAAAGTTTTGTCCGCTGTATGCTCAAGCCTTCTTCAGATGATTTAATTTTTGAACTGAACACTTTATTTCGTGCATCGTGGTAGATTGTCCTAGTTCCACGTGCCAAGCCTCTTCTGGATTGCGAAGTTATTTCCCTTTAACTCAGCTCTCCAAGTTTTTTGGTTCAACACTGCTGTAGCCTGATATTGAACTCACAACTATTTCGGTCTAGTCATTAGATTTAATGAACGTCTTTATCTGTGCTCAGTGGAAAAAAGATCCCCAGACCTCACCATGTGTTATTTATTTTTTTCTTGTGGAGAGAAGTAAAAGTTCGTGCTTACGTTCCACCGCTACCGAGTAACCTAGATGACATTAAACACAGAATGACAAAAGCGATCAAATAAGTGTATTGTAGTAGGCCGATACGCGTCTAGGAGGAATTTTCTTATTGCATTGATGCAGCCCATGCTGTAAGTTTTGGCCACATTGAACACGTGTAAGGAAATAAAAGTCGATTGTGAGTAGAATACACGTGAATTGACTGGAATTTTCTATTGCTTTTTCTTATTAAAATATTGCGTAACAAAATATGATCATTGTTTTTTAATAACCCTTTATATTGTTTTCAAATGGATGGGCGCATACTTTTTCTTTAAAAGGAAATTATTTTTTGCATGCAACACTTCACTAGAAAAAATCTGTGGAGTAAAAGAAATATACATACATAAAATGGCGAAACAGAAAAACTCGGGTTGCACTTTGAAATATTATGAGGAAGCGTTTAGGGTACGGCCCAAAGCTTGTTTAGATAAACATTTACATTTTCTTAGAAGATGTTCATATCATGCTTCATAGATCAACTTTGCATTTGCAGAATAATTTTCTGCTTTCTCGGAGTTTTATGGTTGGGTCGTGAGTATTTTTTTTTTATTTTTTACTCACAAGGCAAATGTATACTTACAATCAGAATGAGAACTGATATTCCTCCAATACCTAACGGGAAAAACCGTTTGGAGTTTTTAACACGCACGAGTACAGTAATCGTCATAAAAGCAGTGGTAAGTTCGAACATGTTTGTTTTAAGAAAAATAGAAGCTGCGACGAAAGCAATATATATATAATCATAAAAATCGAGAGTTGAAATTCCATAGACACATAATGAGGAAAGATTATCTTGCAAATTTAATACGCACAGGAGATAGTGAAGGAAAAGGAAGTAGATAAATGGTAAGTAAACGAAATTATGACAGAGTGGAGTGATTTCACGATCTGGACAAAAATAGTTAATAAATTTTAAAACAGTTACTTATAGCAACATAGCATAGATAGTTGTGGAGAGCCATAATCGCCTAGCACCAGATAGCACTTGTTAAATAATAGTACATCCTCACCTTTTCCAAAAATCTTAGTCTTTGATCGGCAGCCATACTTTTCGGTTACAGCCAGTTTTTAAATAATCTCCTTCTTGCACGAGTGTTTCAAATAAAAGCTAATTATTTGACACCTCACGATTCACCCACACCTTCGACATCCACCCCAGGGATTATTTAAAAAGAAGGGGTCGCTAACGATGTCCAAGATATTGTACCGACCTTCATCGGACAGGATGTTCTCTGTTTCGGTTTACGTTTTAAAAGAAATCATTCCTAATATGGTATCGAAACGGTAAGTTTTCACTATATTTTATGTGTGCTTCATACTATCTACATTTAGTAATAATATTGGTATTAACATAATTCGGAGTTACAGGGATTATTGCCTGCAAATTAAAACCAACACATTTATTAATATATCTAAAACATATAAACCAGATGAACAGATTTATTTAACTCTGTATATAGACATACCTTAATAAATTATATTTTATCATTTTAAAAACAGATTCCTCAATATATTCTTCAGTTTTATTTTATTTCTTAAACGTTATTTTTGGTGAATACCAATATATGAGGTCTTCAGCAGGATTCGAACCTTCTTTACTTGTGAAAACCGTCGATATATCTGACTTGCTTTAACCTCTCGGCTACAGAGAACCTAATGGTCTTTTCAACATTGACTTTTCTCGATTCTCGAAATATACATCTCTGGTCAGTTTCATATCCTAAAGTAAACCATTGCCTGACGATTAGGTTATCTGTAACCGAGAGGTTATAGCACCTCAGATCTAATGATATTTGCGCTAGGGAAACGCAGGTTCGAATCTTGCCGGAGAAGGCATATTTTTCTAATGAGATTTCTCGAACATTCACGTCGGTAGATGTAAACGTATAAATATACTGTTTAATAAATAAACAGAGTATCTACTCAAATACCTTTATTCATTAAAAAGAAGGCTTAAGCAATAAAATAAAATAAATATGTCGGGTTAATAAATGAAAAAATACATTTCTAAATATTCTTCAGTCTTTTCTCTTTCTTTTTGTCAACCATTCTTTTTCAAATAACAAAAATGAGTATCAGGTTTAAATAGGAAGTATGACCATATCACGTTCAAACACCTTTTCACGTACTCCCATCGAAGTTAAACAACATTGCGCCTTGTCAGTACATAGATGGGTGACCGCTTGGGAATACCACGTGTCGTAAGCTTGGTGGGATGTTTGTGGAATGTAATGGAAAATAGATCGGAATTGTTAATCGGATTGCCAAGTTTCAATTTCAGTCCAGTTCTTTATATTCACTTCAGCGCAAATACCCTCGGGAAAGGTATGACTTCATCTCTTCTCCCTACAGCTAAGAGTGTGAGTTCAATACACGGTTAAGGCAGTGGAGAACTTTCAGAGGGAAATTAACAAATAACTGATAACTAACACCCATTAAACAAGGCACGTGGAACTAGAACAGTTTACCCCAGTGAGCGAAATAAAAGGTTCAGTTCGACATTCCAAATATCTGAAGAAGGCCGGAGCGTACAACGGTCGAAACGTTGTAATAAATATGGCGGCAAAGATGAGGACAATAGTCCGAATAATGTAAATAAAGCTACAGGTTAATTAATAAGACTTGTAATATTAAATCATTATCTAAAAATAATTTCTTACTGTTTAAATTTTTTCTTTCTTGTCTTAAACAACATTCAAGTTTCTGATAAACTGTAAGAAAGGAATCGATCAATCAAAGACAATCTAAAAGAGAAAACAATGGTAATGTCAAGATGTGGAATATCCTAAGAAGCTTAAACAAAAGATTAAGAAAAAAAAACTCTTATCTATATCTACAATTCTCAAAATGTTTTTGTGTATATATGTGTGTCTGTCTGTGTATGTGATCGGATGTTGTTTATATGTTTTCACAGTTTCCAACTGATTTCGATGAAATGTTTTTGTTTGATAGATAATTCTTCAGTGCCGTTTTTTTGTCCAAATTGGCTGGAAAAAAATTCCATCATTGAAGGTGAAAAATCGAAAAAAACTGATTTTTTACACTTTGTTCAAAAATTTATTGTCTGTAAAAAAAACAGCGTACAATCAATTTGGAGATTTGAAATCTAAAGCAATAGATTACTGGAATTATAAAAAAAAAAATATCGCATACTCTTATGACGGTCCATGGAAGAGGTTCCTTCCTTGCAAGATGGAGAACGCAAAAACGGCTCTTTTCACGGCCACCCCTACACTTCAAATTGTTAACCCCCTATTTGGGAATGTACCTCAGTTGCATCCAGTTGTTGTCACTAATTTTGATTTTTCAGGTGGGCTAATCAATTGAACGGCAAAAATTCAGTGTAATTTGAACACCTGGTCGAAGATGGTTTAGCGCTAGTCAGTACTAAAATGAAATTTCTTAAAATTACGAAGAAAAAGACATATGTAAATTTCAATCGATTATAAAGCACCTATTCAGCCAATCAATGGCCAACTTTGACTTGTAGGGAAATAGTATCTTTCGCCCTAACCATCTTTAATGTTTTAACTTTAAAATCAATTGCAGCACTATATATTTCGTCTAGACTTTCATATTCTTTTCCCTTATCAACACTTTTATCACATCCTGTTTCGCCTTACGACTATATTACACTGAGAAAAAAAAAACAGTTCTCGTACACTCACCGAAGTTAAGCAAAGTTTACCCCGCTCACTACCGATACTACAGAACGTTTGTTTGTAACAGGTGTAATCTCAGGTGTGCGAATAGCTTAATATATAACTGCTAGTAATTGGAGGTTGGAGAGTCTTGTTCCTGTCCAATTCGGGTTCATTATATTCACTAAGTACGCAAATACCATTGCGAAAATTATGAACCTACCACTTGCCCCACCTATGTGTTAAATTATTTGTACAAGTAAATCATTATTATCTCACCAGAAATTCTTAATAACTAAAAAGTATTTTGTGTTTTTAAATAACCCCTCTTATTATTTTAATTCCCATTTTCTCAGACATAATCATTGCTCACATTTTTCGCAATGAAATGCTCATTATCCTTCTGAAGAACAACAGGCTCATGAAATTGATCTCACATGGACAACAACACGCGCCTTCGCTTGCAGATATTCTTCGTATACTACACTACGAAAATAATAAGCCACCTCTTCAAATTCTCGAGGAGCTTAAATCAAAATATACCGGCCAACACCCAATAAAATGTATTACGAATATATCACCAACATATTAAAATGCATATAACATGTATATACAAATGATATTTTATATTTGTAGCAATTCCCTCTCAGCTCCCTTTTATTGAAACACTTGTTTTGTACAAAAAGCCATAAATCCAAGGAATAAATTCAAATTCCCTAAAACATCTATAACAGAGTGTGTCATAAATCACTGACAACGGAATGCAGATTTTATCGTAGTTACAATAATTTTGTCTTTGTAATTTAGCCCCTGATGATGAACTTAGTAAAGGTCGAAAGTACATGGTTCAGAAGAAATACGGCGTTTTCCTTGATGAATTTCATCTCAACATCAGGAATCTGATTCGACAAATTGAAAAGATCAGTATAATATAAATACACGCAATATGTACATGTTGTTTAATGAATCATGTTTCAATGAAGATATGCTGCCTATATATATATATATATATATATATATATATATATATATATATATATATATATATATATATATACTCAACGTATTTCCGGGTTATAAGACAATCTTTTCCTAAAGATATCTTGATAAATACGTGTGAGTCTTCCAAGACGAGTGTAAGCCATGGCTCAGTCTCAAGTAAGCTTGGACGTTCACCTAATTGGCTTGACTGATATGAACTTAGATTTGTATATTGAATACTTACATTATGATGTTAGCTCTGTATCTAATTCGTATATATATATATATATATATATATATATATATATATATATATATATATATATATATACGTCATATATAGGTACGTCATATTTCAAATTATTCTCGAGGCTATTGTGTAGGAATTATTGTGCATCCAAATGATGTTATTTTTATGTATTTTAAATTATTATCTTTTAACTTTACTCTTTATTACATTTGGGCAAATGATTCCAAATTTTTCATTATTGAATTAGATATTTGCAGTTAATTATATGTAATTTGACTGAGCAGAGCACGCTTTCCTATAAGGTTTCCCTCTGTTTTGTCCTGATTTTGCTCAATGCTGCTCATCTTTCGTCGTATTCACAAGAATCTTTTTCTCAATATTCGTCTTTTTGCAGTTACACATTATGCAACTAAGTTTTAATCTTTCATAGATTGGAGTTTTTGAGGAGCGTAAAACTACCTCTTAATTGTCATAGATTGTACACTAACAGATGGTACCACTCCAGGTCAGGATAGACCTGGAGATAACAGCAATTAAGAGGTCGTTCCATGCTCTTCAGTATCTCCAATATCCAGATGGGGGGGGGCTGGCTGCCAGATACAGTTTATCGTCATATCCAGGATTTAAAAATTTAGTCATTTCTCATGAAGAGTCAATGAAATTAATTAATTTTTAAAGATGTTATTTATTATCATTAACTTTGATTTAATCATTTCACCCCAAGCAAGGCGAGAATGCCACTAGGGCGCAGGGAGTGAACGTAAAATGGAAGACGGAGAATAGCTGATAATTGAGAAACGAATAAAAGATGAACGGGATTCAAGAATACAGATTATCCAATTGCTGTTGCAATTCAATTTTAGTTATTAGCGAGGCAAGTAAACGGAAGGGGATTCTGCATCGAAGAATGGCAAGAAAAGAAACTGTTGGAGTATAAGCGGCCCTTACTTCCAAAGTTAAAGGGCTAGGACCTTGATACGAATGTAACAGCACGCTTATAGACTAAAATTTACAAAATGCAAAGCAAAAGCTGATAAAAAAAAATACACAAATTTTTTTCTTTTGAAACAACTTAGAGGGCAAACTCCAAACTTTCGCCAATCAGACGTGCCGCGGCGTAGGTTTTTGCTCATCACTCTTTATAATAGGTCCCTTCAACTCCATGTCATATCATCCGTAACCGTTTACGTGCGAGGGGATTCGGCTTTGAGCTTCTACCGGCTGACTCACCGTTAATGAAGAATCCTGAAGAGAAATTACAAAATCTCCTACAGAAGATAGCGATGGAGAGTGAGAAGAAAGAACTAAGCATCAACTACACGAGGATAGAATGCATGGTCATCAGTACGAAGGAGAGCCCGAAATGCGATTTTCAGGTCGGGAACACTAGAATCAAGCCGACGAAGAAGATTAAATATCTGGGAAGTCTCTTGACAGAGGAAGGTAAGTGCAACATCCGCAGCCATATCGAGATGGCCAAGGACGCATTCGAAAAGCTTAGCAGAGTATTGCGATACAAGAGGATTTCTTTGGTAACAAAGAAAAGAATACTGAACTGTTACGTGACATCTGTACTTCTTTACGGCAGCGAATGTTGCACAATTTCCTCAAAGATGAAGAAGAGACTCGAGGCGACGGAAATGTGGTTCTACAGAAGGATGCTAAGGATATCATGGACCAAGCATGTGAGCAACGAAGAGGTCTCAGAAGGGTTGGAAACAATACTTAACATCAGAAGATGCAGCTGAAGGTTCTGGTACACATAATGAGGAAGGTGGCCTTGGAGAATCTGATACTCATGGGTCGAATAAAAAGAAAGAAAGGTAAGGGAAGGCAGCACCTGACATACCTGGCGAGCTTGAGCAGGTGGATGACAGAACGTGGTCTGCGAGAGGAAGCAGAGGGAAGGAACATGTTGAGAGCTGCAAGGGATAGAGGGAGGTGGAGAGCCATGATCGCCTACGTCCTGAAAGGAAATGGTACATAAAAAGAAAAAGAAAAAAGGATTGAGTTTATCATTTTAATTTTTGAAGTCCAATAACTTTCATGATTTTTATTTAAGTAATATCTCGCATAGATTTACATACTCAAACCGTACATTCTTTCCGTAATCTTCAAGGGAATATAGTTTCCAGCCAATCATATCTACATTGTGACGCTTTCTCATCTAAATTAATACATTCGTTTAGTATATGATTGAGTATTACTGAGTTACATGATGAAAAAAGGCGGCTTTAAGGATTTGATACTCAAGTGATTTTAATGACAAGAAAGGCAGGAGAAAACATCGAATAACCTAACTTGTGTGGATATTTGACCGAACCGTGAATAGAC